TCTCTCTTCTCTCTCTTTCTCTTTCTCTCTCACTGTATAGTCTTATGAATAACCCAGAATCAACGCAACAATGGAGACACAATATGTCTCACAGACCTTCTGTCACTGAATGGTCATTGAGCTGTCAAAGCTCACAGCTTGCAACTGAAAGTGTGAAGCACACTATGCACAAATAATTCTAAATAAGTGTATAGATAAATCTTAACACACGTAAATAAAGTATAATAACATTAATAATAGACTTTAAATGCATAAATGTGTAACAGCAAATACTGACAGGCCTAATTAGCTAAATATTGTTTTGACAAGCGCATAGTAATGCATGAACTACTGTGGATATCACAGTCTGTTGTGTTTTTTTTGGCAACATAAACCAGATGTGCGACATAGAATCTGAGCAATGATATGCAAGGTATATTTTTGTCATTTAGCAGTGACTATACGGCCACTGCAGCTTAAACTATGTTATATGCTATTCTCTTTCTTTCGTTCTATAAGATGGCAGTGTCCATTTCCCTCTATCTCCCACATCGCTATAAGTAACACTGGAATTTTTTTCTAATAGTTCCACCAAATGGATTGTGATGAATTTGATATCTTTGGATTCCTCCCACTCTCTAGTTTCCAAATATATATAAATTATTGTGCCGACCCCTCAAACCCTACTTTCTTGGCCCCGATAGTTGTGGAGGGCATGAAATACAGAGGGCTGTAACCTCTGTGACCTCGCCATGGGGGGCTGCTGGCCCTAACCCTTGCCCAGAAAAACAAAGAATCTGTTATGCGGGAGCCATGTGCCAAGTCTGTCCAACGGTCTTTCCTGCTTTGAATGCATGGTAGAGGTTGAAGACCGTGACGCGCATAGATAGAGGAAGAAATAGAGTAGGATAGAAGTAATCTTAAGATGCACAGGCCTTATATTTACCATTAAATGGAAAAAAACGGTGGCGCTGCGCTAGATGAGTGGGAGCTCATTGATGCCCTCGCATTCTCCTTAACCTCGCTGATTCAAACACACGTTTGAAGTAATGTAACGAATCCCTACAACCCAACTCTGGCCTCCCTCTCTCCTCCATTCAGGAACCAGCCCCTTTCCTACACAGCAATTGCATCGCCATCTCTGGGCAATAAACAAAACACACAAAACCTTCCCGAGGACTTTAGTCCCAGACTGTACTTTTGATGCTCACCCCTGCTATCAGGAACAGGCTTCTTGCTAATGAGGGGTTTTGGGGGGTTCCGCACAATAAAACCTACATATTGGCATTGAAAATGCTGAGAGAAATTATAAGAAAAAAATCATTTTAAATTCTGCTGATACTTACTTTTCTAATATTATATATTTCAAATCCAGCGATGCACCCTGCCGAGACAAAGTCCTAGAACTGGGGTATTAAACTAACCTTTCCTACCTTCTATTTATTCCATAAAAAGTGGGACAAGCCCCCCTGTACCCCCAATTTATTCGCACTTCATGCCAATTTTAAGAAAATAGACATTAGGAACTCTGGCAGTGTGAGGTTGTGGACTAGGCTAAGTCTCTCAACGGTGCTATACAGCTGTTATTTTCGTCATTTACCGGTTAATGTGAGGCTGATGCAGCTTCAACTATATTTTACTTTCTATAAGATGGTGTCCATTTCCCTTACCTCCGCGCGTCGTTCTCAGTAACTTATACCGCACTGATAAACTGAAAAGGATTATTAATGTTTAAATCTATTGAGTCTACTGAAAGATGTATAGTTGGTTTGATCTTACTTGTGTGTTGGATTTAATGTTGCTATTCGTTACTGGTTGGAACTGCGTATTCCTCATGGTGTTCCTTCGTTATCACGTTCTGTTGTTTTGCATCTTGTTATTTAAAGGTTTCTGATTCCATTTGCTTAATGTATCAAGATTCTCGCTTGGTTCACGTTTGCTTATAACATCCAAGTGCTCACTAATCACTTCTAATCATTTCACTTAAGTTTACGCTTACCATATGTTTCGTCTATGAAGGGTCAAACGAAATTCTGCTACCTCCTGATTTATCGACAGTTCATTCTTCGGCCTGCTCAATAAATAACAACACCGCCGAGGCCAAAGATTATATAATATATAATCCTTGGCCGAGGACTCACCGAAGGGCCTCACAAGCGTCTAGTCTCAAATTTGTATCCTCTCCTCTCCTCTCCTCTCCTCTCCTCTCCTCTCCTCTCCTCTCCT